CTGAGGTACCTCTGGGTGCACGCAAACAGCCAGCCTTCCAATTAGCAGCTCAGTGTATAAACCACTCACAGCAGTCAGGCCCTGTCAAGCATGTAAGTCTCCGAATAACCATTGAGGTGGAGCCCGTTCTCCGTGTTTGACAGCTGAGGAAACAGGGATGTTAGGTAACAAGTCCATGTCAGCTAGAAGCGGTGACACTGTGATGTGTCCCCAGAGTCTAGGCAGGAGTGACACCACCAGGGACGGTGGCGACCAGTCATCACACCATCAGTTCTCTTCATAGTTCCTGTCCAGACAGTCTGAGGGGACTTCATTTTGTTTGTAAGCCACAGACCCTTAGTACTGAAAATATGTGCTAATCTGCACAGCTAAACTGAGGGGCCAATAACTGAAACAGAAAGAGAACAAGGAACACACAATTATACTTACTTCCCCGCTGGCTGGCCCCTTTTTCCTCTGTTGACAGCATCTGATCACTTCTAGTAACAAGGGTCCTCCCACAGTACCTTCTGCTTCAATAATACCTAAATCTCGGGCTAAATTCTCTCGACCTTCAAGACCTTGAAACTAGAAAAGAAAGAAACCGTAAGTCCCAAAATGTAGCAAAAACCACTTTCAGAAACTAAATGCAAACTTCTGCAGAGCTTACCAACATCGCTGATGGATAAAACGTTCATCTCTAAACAGTATACATAAACCCACTCCTGCCCTACAGATGGGGTGAGGTTTCAAAGTCCAGGGCATTATGCAACCATCAGCGTTAAGAGAACATGGAGGCTTTCGTACTTGTCTACAGACCATCCAGTCTTCCAACTTTAGACAATACTATCGCAGCCACAGTAATGGCTCAGAGTTATGAAGTGCCCATCACTCAGAGGCCAGTTACGGGTTACTCCCCTACAGAGACGGAGGCTGAGAGGAGATGAGGCTAACCAGGTCACCCTCCTCCTGGGCTGAGTCAGAGCTCCTGGGGCTCCACTCCCACCCTATAGCCCTGTCCACAACCTAGAGCCCACTCAGCCCTCAGGGCCTGGCAAGTCACCAAGGCTGCTGGCCCATTCAGCTCACTTCAGGATGTTACAAAGCTTGCTAGCATTTCTTCCAAACACCTTCTCCAATGCCTCTTTTTTCCCGTCCCCCAGCCCACCCCACAGCAAGGCCTCAGGCCACACAGGAACGGGGTACCCAGAACAGAAGCCCACTGGCTCAGTGCTGCCTGGGGCCCCCACTGGCAGGAGGGAGAGGAGGGCATGGGGTGGCACAGCCCACCTTCCCAGAGGCCGCCTGGAGACCCTCCTCGCAGGAGCGGACACTCCGCAGCCACTGCCGCCATGGCTGCTACCTCGTTAATGCACAAAAGAGGCAGAAAGATTTTTCACTGTTGCCACAAGTGTAACATTGGCTAGGACACTCGGTGAGTGAGGAGGTGTACTCCTTGAGAAGACCCCGTCCATTCAGCTTCTGATCAGTTGTCCCACTGACAGTCGCAGGTGGACACCTGAACAGAATAAGCTCTGCAAGGAAAGCCTCCTGTGCTAGTGAGCTCTCCGAGGGCAGGAGCGAGAAACAGTGACATCAGGTCCCGACAGCTCTGCTGGTGACAGAACCAGCCTATAAATCATCTCTGTGCGAGAACCTGCAAACTGTCACACTTTGCCACCTGGCAGCTTATCAGCAACCTGCTTGTACAAGGTAGGTTTCCAGGATCGATGGAAAGATTATTA